CTCGAACTCCTGACCTCAGGTGATGTGCCTGCCTCGGCCTCCCAAAGTGCTGGGATTACAGACATGAACCACCATGCCTGGCAGGTACCCCATCTTTCTGATCCAAAGTTGATGCAGGGGAATAGAGTGACATCTTGAGATGTCATGTTAACTTAAAAAAAAAAAGTATTACCAACCACTGAAGTCCCTATCAATGGCTAAGACTCATATTTTATTTTTACCATCTTGACCCAGCTGATCTACTTCAGACCACACTAGACTATATTCCCAGTATTTTCTATTTAAAATTTAAAACATATAGAACATTTGAAATAATTGTACAGTGGAGGCCCATATACCCACCACCTTGAGTCTGTTTTATTTTCTCACCTATCTGTGCTTCTATTCATCCATTAATCCATTTTAATTGTAACTATTGTTGCTTTTCACCCCTAAACATTTCAGCATGCATTTCATTAGCTAGAATTTAATACTTTACAGCTTTTTTAAGGTAAAATTTACCTATAGTGAAGTGTACAAAGCTCAGTGCCACTCACCAAGTTCTGACAAATGCATACATCCATTTAACTCACATCCCTATCAATACATATAATAAAAAATTAAAAATTAAAAAATACAGAATGTTCCCATCACCCCAGAACATTTCCTCATGTCCCTACCTAGTATATCCTAGCACCAATGCCATTCCTAATGCAGCCACTCCTTTGCTTTTTTTCCCACTACAGTTTTGCTTACTGTAGAATTTCTTACCAATGGAATCAAGCAGTAGGTACCACAGTAAGATTGTGAGATTCCTCCATGCTGTTGAATGCCTATGTTTAATTTTATTACTTTTTATTGCTGAACAGCATTCCATTATATAAGTATATCTTAATTTGTTTATTTACTATTCTGTAGATGGGCATGAGGACTGACAAGTTTTTGCCATTATGAATAAAGCTGCTAGAAGCATTCTTGTACGGGTCTTTCTTTTTTCTTTTTTGACTTATAGGTTAATGCCTAACAATGTAACTGCTAGATTCTCAGTGCCTGTTTAGTTTTATTTAAAAAAACTTCTATGCCTTTTCCCAAAGTGTTGTTCCATTTTACACTCCCACCAAGAATGTATTCTCCACATTTTCACCAATACTTGGTACAAATTTTTAGTTTTAGTCATGCTGGCGGCTGTGCAGTGGTGACTGTGGTTGGGGCTGGGGGAGACTCACATTTCTATTATTCCCCTCACTAGTTCCTGTTCTTCACAGTAATGAGCCCTCTCGCACAGGGATTTTATCTCAGGAGGGGAGAGGGTTTCTAATTCCGTGGCTTATTTCTTCGAAGACCGCAACAGCGGAGAAGAACTTCATCTACTATTTGTTCAATTCCTCTGTCTTGCTTAGGAGGAAAAGTTTAAAAAATATTCAATCATCAAACTAGATCAGGTTGATTAATTCAAAGTTGCATTTTGTTTTATGATATATTTTGAGGCAAAAAAAAAAAAAAAAAAGAATCTCTAAATCTTAGCCACTGTCTGTCTTTCCAGCAACATGTAAAACCTTAACATTATTCAGAGAGAATAACATTATTCAGAGAGAAGAAAAGTTCCCAATACTCAGGCTCAACCTATTTTCCTTCCCACTCCCCTGAGAACCGCTCTTTAGGTGATCATGACCACCCTGTCAGGCAGGATTGAGGTCATGGAGAAGGTAACTGCCCCTGAGCTGACAGCCTCAAACACAGGATGTCGCGATACAAGTTCCCCTGGCTGGCGGCGACCCTGTGATGGACCCCGCAGCAGGGCCCAGGCTGCCGCTGGCTCTCCCTCTGCGGTGGGGAGCCGTGCACTTGACTTGCAGCTTCCTCCCTTCCCCACTCACAGCTCCATTCCTCGCCTGGCTCCTGTCCTCTCTCCTTCTCCCCCTCTTCCTTCCAACTCTTCTCAGTTACCTCATAAAACTCGTGTCTCCTCATTCTTTCTCTCCCTTGTTCTCTTCCATATGGGAACTAAAAATGTATCCCAAGCTTGCCACGTAACTGTCAAAGTAGTGCGAGTGCCGTAATGAAGCGAGACATAATGAAAAACCAAGGCCATCGACATCTAAAGCCCTTGAAAGTCCCAAGAGGTCCCTTTCAGAAGCTCCACAAAGGAACCTTCTACTTTCTCATCCCTTCCTAATTAAACTGGCTTTTCCTCAAGTACCAGCATTCTACAGAGACAAAAAACTTTTGTCTTCACTATTGGGTTTCTGTTTTAATTAATAGCATCACAGCAGCATTGTTTTCTATTACTTCGGTTGCAAAGATACAACATGTCAGTTACATTTTAAGTTATATTGCAATGCTATGCCTATGGCAAACGACGTACTAAATGCCAAATAGACTTAAATTTATGGAATAAAATCAATTTCTAAATTAAGACTTGCCTTTTTTTCCTGTTTGGCTTTAAATATTTGTTACCAGAATTTCATCTTTAGCATATTTTCTTTTATATAGATATTTATTAAGATATAATAGTTCAGCCGGGCCCGGCGGCTCAAGCCTGTAATCCCAGCACTTTGGGAGGCCGAGGCGGGTGGATCACGAGGTCAAGAGATCGAGACCATCCTGGTCAACATGGTGAAACCCCGTCTCTACTAAAAATACAAAAAATTAGCTGGGCATGGTGGTGCGTGCCTGTAATCCCAGCTACTCAGGAGGCTGAGGCAGGAGAATTGCCTGAACCCAGGAGGCGGAGGTTGCGGTGAGCCGAGATCGCGCCATTGCACTCCAGCCTGGGTAACAAGAGCGAAACTCCGTCTCAAAAAAAAAAAAAAAAAAAGATATAATAGTTCAATCCTCAACATCTCAGTTTTGCATGTATTATAGGTATATAAACATAAAGGATACACTATACTGACTCCTTTTTCATAAATGAGGAAACTGAGCTTGAGAAAAGTTTCATAACTCACAGCTATTTTTTTTTTTGAGACAGTCTCTCTCTGTCACCCAGGCTGGAGTGCAGTGGTACGATCTTGGCTCACTACAACCTCCACCTCCCGTGTTCAAGTGATTCTCCAGCCTCAACCTCTCAAGAGGATGGGATTACAGGTATGCACTACAGAGCTTGGCTAATTTTTGTTATTTTCAGTAGAGATGGGGTTTCACCATGTTGGCCAGGCTGGTCTTGAACCCCTGACCTGAGGTGATCCACCTACCTCGGCCTCCCAAAGCGCTGGGATTACAGGCATGAGCCACTGTGCCCAGTCAGTAACCCACAACTAATATAATAAGTAGAAGAGCCTGAATTCACATCTTTGTTTTTTGGCCTCCAGCTGGTATTTTCTTAAGCACCATGCTGTACCTCTCCTCTGTATTGCCTAGTACCACCCAATATACAAAATAAAGCTTCCTAGCATGGGCTTGAATAGACCAGGACTGTGTGATTCACATCCTCATCATTCTCTGCATCTCCACCATATTCCTAAAAATTGTTCAGACTTTACCTGATCTCAGAAGGACAGGAAAAGAGGTTGGCAAAAGTAAATCGAGACAGATCTCTAGTAAATTCAGAACTATTTTAGAAAATAAATTGGTATCCAGCAAAAAGACTGTAGCTATGCAATTAATAAGCATCTATTATGCATTCTAAATAGCTCTCACCTGGCTCTGAGTGTCAACACAGAATATGGCTGATAAATCCAGTTTATTCTGTTATCCAAACTGCTGGGGCATTCCTAACTAATTTGCCCTAATGGTTATAATACAAATTGACTAACAATATACCCCCATTTGGCAGAGCCTTTGTGGGCCGCAGCACGGTTCAGGGCAAATAAAGAGTGAGAGCCCCAATTTGGTTGTAGGAGCTGACTCTTTTCCCGTGGTGCTCCTAGTTCTTCAGCTGCTGCTAACACATGAGGCCTGAGTCCACTGACTCTTTCAAACTGCCACAAATATATGGATTTCATTCTTCTTTCAATAACAGTTTGGTGTCCATGGTGGGCATGTTCCCTAGCCCTCCACTCTACTCCCTTCCAGTTTACCTTCCTGACTTGAAAGACTAGAAATTCAACAACATTTTCAGACTCTCTTGCAGCTAGCATTCCAGATACAAATTACATCCTCCAATCAGGTGTATTTGCATGAGGTCCAAAGGCAGGAGCAAAAGAGAAACCATCTTTCTGCCCCCCTTTCAAGCTTTTTTGCTGAAAAACAAGATCATAAAAAGGTAAGCTAACTTTTTAACAGCATGCCCCTAATGTTCAATCTCTAACTTCCTAGATGATTAGAGGCTGTTGAGGCAACTGAAAACAGCAGCTTTTTGAGTCCGGCTTTCTGAACCTTGGACTGCAGCTCTGGGGTATACCTTGAACTCCACTTTCCAGTGCTCATCTCAGAAGTGGTAGTTCCCCTGGTGAGCCAGTCCTGCACTGCCCAGATCTGCCTCCTGTACTTCCTTCCTCTGTCACCACCACAACCATTAACATTTCTTGTGTGTTCACTATGTGGTAGGCACTGCACTAAATGCTTTAAATAAATCATTTTATTTAAGCTCCAGAACAACTCCATCAGGAAGGTACTATTAATATCTTTTTTTTTTTTTGTCAGATGAGTTAGCTGCACTCTGAAAAGGGATGAATTACACAGGATCAGATCAAAGCTAGTGGTTAAGTAGTAGGTAATGCTGGAATTCAATCCCAGATCTGCCAGAGCTCTTTTTCTTTAAAGGTAGAGGGCCTATGACATATTAGCAGGTTTTAATTGCCCACATACATTATGTGGCTAAAAATGCTGTCCATTCTTTTCCTTTAAACAATATAGATGCACAGTGCAGTCTATTTCATGTCCAGATATCTCTAGATAGCAAAGAAGTCTAATTCAATAGAGAGCTATTTAAAAATCCAGAGGTATCTCTTTGTGAAAGCTTGCCTAAGCCATAACAAGATCATTTTTACAGCAAAAATTAAAGAACGAAGATGAAAGCAGACAGGGCTTTCCACTTACCTCTGGAAGGACCAGAGCTGGGAGAACAAACTCACACTTACCAGGTGCTCGGTTAACAGCGAGGTTTCGGAAATGGCTGCCTTTGATCATTTCCACAGATAATCGGCCCGTTGTGGCGTTGTACGAGAGCCCCACCAACAGCTCTGGCGCCCCTCCATGAGACAGCGACTGCGTGGATGAAGTGCTATCACTGTGAGAAACCGCAGATGGGCTGAGCGGAGACCCTCCACTCTGGAGGGGAAGAACAACAAAGAATCCATTGGCCCACGCTGCACTACTCTCTTTTAGAGAAAGCCGATATTATGTTTGGTGAAATTGTGACCCAATCCCCAACGACTGCCAAAGATGACTAAGGGTACACTCGGTGTGAATTACAATGCGCCCAGGGAGCACAGTCATGGATGAGATCCCTGCATTAGGAGCTGACATATTTGTTTCAAGAACTGTCTCCATTCAATATTTCCCCTCTAAAGACAAAACAGACAAAGATGTTATTACTAGTGTAAATCAAACCCTCTAAGATACACGAAGAGCTAATAATACATTTAATATAGACTCAAATTCCCTCCTTTGTAATCTGTGCTTGGATGTTTCTAAGGAACCCCTCCACTCCAGGCCTGAGGTTTGTTTCTGTTCTCTGCAGCTCCTTGATGAATGTAGCAATACAGGACACACTGTGTCTAAGCTATGAAAGAAATGACCACTGGACGTCTACCCCCACATAGAACATTTGGCTTTTAGTTCTGCTTAAGGCTATTAAGTATATGCCAGGTACCAAATTTTGCCTTTTAAAGAAATAACTTACATTACAAATGAGCACTCTCACAACTGTTTGAGAAAAAAGGCAACGCATGGTTGTGGATCTCAGCGACTTGACAGGCACCAAGTGAGCCCAGGAGAACCTGAGCTTTCCATCCTGTTTATTCATGGGCACGCTTCTCTTGAGCACCTACCCTTCCCCACCAGGCACGGGCACGTCGGGAGGAGGAGAGCAAAACTGAGCAGGACACCGATTGTCACTCTAGGTATGGGGGTAGGAATCAGCCCTGAAACACCACCTCCTCCAACAGAAACAAGGGCATTAGACTTGGCTTAAACCTTTCTTCTCAATGTCTGAAATCATTTCTTCAAACTTCTGACCAGAAACTCAATAATTAGAACCAATAAAAGCAATCAAATATTCTGCCCATCTACAGCAAAGTATCCTGTTTACCAAACCACAGACATGTCTGCAGACCACACCCACCCGCCCCCCAGGCTTTTATAGAACACAATTTGTAAATGGCAGGGCTAGGTGGTTGTGATAGATGCCTTATAGACCCTGCTGTCTAGAAGATAAAAATTCAACAATGAAATATTTGCTTACTTTCAAGTGGGACTCACTCCCATTCCTGTGCTTCTGTAAAAGCTTCCCACTGTGGCACCTGTCACTCACTGCTTACCTGTCACTCACTGCTTGCCTCTCCCATCAGATTCTGAATCTGTATAAATCTGTCAGTCCCTGGTGTATCACCTAATGTCTGGCACATAACTATGCTCACCAAGTAACTGGTGAATGAAAGATTTTCACCTGCAAAGTTATTTTACACTAGCTCATTTTCCCCATTCAACTCTGTGCCACCAGCATACAGCACAGGGCCTGGCAAGGAGAAATATGGGTGTGATCATCCCGGTTCCCAAGCTCTATCATGCAGGATCCCTTCTGACCTCCTGTGCATTCTGTTCTCCATCATTTCAAATGTGCTTTATTTGGATATGAAGAAAAAGGGAGACTTCAGCAGAGATGAGACATCATGTGGCTTATGCTTTAAAAGGCTCATTCTGCTCCCATGTCCAGAAGAGTCCATAGACACAAAAGGAGAAGTGGAAAGACCACCACTGAGCGGCTATTTCAGTAATCCAGCAGAGAGCCAGGTTCTGGTTATACCTGAAGATACAGCCAATAGGACTTCAGGTGGAAAACAGAAAAGTCACCGATGACTTCTAAGATTTTTGACCCTAGCAATTGGAAGAATGAAACTGTCTTTAAGCAAGATGGGGAAGACTGCAGGTGGAATAGATTTAGGGAGGCAAAAATCAGGATTTCAAGCTTGAAGATGTTAACTTTGAGACATCATTAGGCATTTAAGTAGACGGATCTGCCATCACTACACTCCAGCCTTTTTGGCTCCTTTGCGCTTCCTCAGACATGGCACCCCCCACCTCCCACATCCTGACTATTTGCATGTGCTGTTCCCTCATCTGGAACCCTCATCTCCCACGTCACCAGCCTTGCTCCCTCGATGCCATAAGTTCTGGCGTTTTATCGCCATCTCAAAGAAACTGTCTCTGACCCTCTAAACAAGCAGCAGCCTGTCGCTCTCCTTTCCTACTTGGCCACCACTAGACTGCAAGATCTCCAAGGACAGAGGCACCACCTGCTTAGGTGTTTCCTGCATCCACTTTGCCTCTACCATAACTGACAGTAAACATCTCTGAATGAATGAATGATTGGCCCCTAAGCCTCAATGGCTCCCTGATCTTTTTATATGGTTTTCTAAAAGGAGATCTGCATGCTAAATGACATATAACACACAGCAGCAGTGGGCTGCCCATCCTGTAGACATGCAAATTATGACACCTTTCCTTGAAACCCTGAGGCAAGCAGGGAAATGGGGTATGTGAGAAGAGTATAGTAATATAAATGAAAGGTTTCAGAAGCAGCTGGAGTTCCGGGCTGCTATCTCAGTCTGCCTCACCATACCTGTTAAGAACCTTGCCCAGAAAGTCCCATCTCTACATTCATCATGATGCAAACTGGGGGCAGGAGAATGAATCACTTATCCACAAACCAGAAGGCCAAGCCACCTTCCCTGGTTTTTTCCATGCCCTCTACTTACACTGCTGCTGTCTTGTCCTAAAATGGACAGGGCATTTATCTATCAGGTTATCCAGAAGACAGGCATGAAAGACCCATTGTACCATGAAGTGCAAATCATGGCTTACAAGGGTGAGGAGAGCCAAATGGAAAATTCAATTAAAGTCTCTGAATTCACAGATTGAATGTACTAAATCAAGGGCTGACAATCCCAGGTCTTCGAACACATCACATCATTAGCAGCACCATTTAACATACTCACACTTATATTACTTCTTGGCTCCAGAACCAGAGTCACTTTCATTTCCCCTTCTGGGTGCAGGTGGCTGAGATAGAACAGTTTCTCTCCCATCATTCTCTCTCGGGTCATCTTACGGGCAGCGTACAGGCGGAAGCGGACAGCGCAGGCAGCCACATCTCTGGGCTCCAGCTTGGCAAAGGTGACCTTCTCCTTGAAGACGGGGTTGGGCCCTCTCTGTATGTTCGTCCTGCCCCTCTGTTTCTTACCAGGCAGCAGCACTACATGAACTTGCCAGGAGTTGACACCACTTCGGTCCTTATCTGGGAGACCCTGTGCTCTCACGATGGTCACTGTGAGCTTCTGGCTGGCAGCTCTATATTCAAAGATGACATCTAGGTCACCACACTTTGAGATGGGCTCTGAGACCCCAGATGGCACCTGCAAATTGGTCCTGTCCTGTTCCTGTTGCAGGCAGAGGAAACAATTAGAAATGGAAATGATGATACCCAATTACATTTTGGCCCATTGGTGCCCCATTGTGTTCCTTCAGAATCCCTGCTTTCTGACTGCCGGTGTATTCCCTCTATATCAGATAGGTCTGTTTATTGGTCTATCTCTGCATTAAACTGTGAATTCGTTGACGGCACAGTGCCTAGCATACGGTGCGCCTTCCTGGGTGTTTTTGGAATGAATAACTAAAGCTTTTATATTTTGCAAAGTGTTTTTATATACACTGCCTCTCAAAAAGCACAATTGCCGAGGATCACTGAAACCAACTGAGACGCTAAATCTAAAATTAAGTCAACAGGCAATTGTCCATAGGCAACTTCTCCTTGTGTCCCCAAATACAGATGGTCGAGCCTGAGCCTGTTCTCTACGGGCAAGAGCATTCTACAGACAGGAATACTGATGGGGGTCTCAGGAAGGTGATGCTTGAGTATATTTTCAATCTACGTGGGAGAAAAGGCTTGATAGGACTGAGATTCTCAAACTTTAATGTAGACGTGAATCATCTGAGGACTCTGATTCAGTATGTCTGGGGTGGAGCTTGAGATTCTGCCATTTCTGGGATGTGCGCAAAAGATGTTGATGCTGCTAGCCTCGGCTCTCACTTTGAGCAGTAAGGGTTTAGGAGGACACCTCTGCAGCCCTTTAGTAAACGGCAACATTGAGCCTGGAGCCAGCACACCCAGATTAAAATCGTAACTCTACCACTGACTAGCTCTTTCACCCTGGTCAAATAGACCATCCTCTCTGTGTATTCTAGCTTTAAAATGCACATTAATGTGCCTACTTGCTGGTGTGTTGTTATGAGGTTTTAATTGATGTGAAAATATCTGGCTCAGATCAGACTCAATAAATATCTATTTCCACCACTGGACTGGTGCTACCAATTCTCAAACACACATCTCTCTACATGAAATGTCACCCTTGGGCAGCAATTTACTTACAGCCACTCAGATCTGAAGACCTCACTGGGAAAACTGAGCTGAACTACATTTATTATAATGAACCACCTGACCAACAAATTATAAATAATGTCAATAATAATTCTGTTTTTCCTCTGAAGGCATGATCCTTACCTGTAACTAAACCTTGAACTGATTCTTATTGCAAATCAGTTCTTATTTATGCAATTGAATACCAGACCTTGCTAATTTAGAGATCTCCTCATTTCAGAATCATAACAAAATGCCTCAAAATGTATATCCATCAATTAAACTTTCTCACAAAGTCCAGGTGAAAGTTCACAGTTCTCTGGGTTCACATATCCTTAGGAAGCCCAGGCTTACCGCTTACTGGCTCAATGACACTGGGCAAGTTATTTAATTCTTTCCATGTTCTGTTTTCCTCAACTGTAAAATGGAGATGGTACTTTCTGTGTAAGGGTGTTGTAAAAAGTAGAGGACTTGACAGATAGTAGACATCTAATAAATACCCTTTTCTTTTAAGATTCAAATTAGCCTACAAGAAAATTTAGATTTCTTGTAAAATAAGGGAAGCTTCTTATATCTTTCCCTCTGAGCATACAATCATGCGTGAGTGTTTCTATTCAGAGGTACTTAGTTTAAAGTGATAAAAGTGGTTGCTATAGAGACTTTTGAATACAACTGACTCGTGTATATATATATTAGAAGCAAGTCTCCAAGGATTTAGGCCAACTCAAAAATCAAGTCAGAATCTTCTCTCAAACTCCCTTGTCTCTTCCTAAAACGCCCATCTATTTTAGCCTACTCTTGATTATCTCCGTATTGCATGTCTGACCATAAGTAATAATAGCCAACATCTACTAAGCCATTTTCTTAGGCCAAGTACCATATCAAATCCTATATAGACTATAAAAACTGGTTCTCATGCACTTCAGATCTTCTTGGCCTTACCCCATGTTCCACCTTCCCCTAAGGCACATCCTGTTTGGGATCTAAGTAATTTCAGCCTGGAACAACTCAATAAAGTCTGACCTTCTACGCATACAATATAATTCTCATTTCTTATCATTGGTCCCTCTGCTGACACCAAGGCTTAGACAGCTGCAGAATCCTGCTTGACACCAATATATGTAAAGCCTACTTTTTGCCCCATGGTCAAATTTCTTATCAGTTCATACAGCTTCTTAGAGTGTGGTCGCACAAGATCAAGTAATAAGCCATCCTGAGTGGTGCCGATTCAACTGTGTGTTCTCATTCTGGATCTCCCTTCTTTCCTGTCTTACTTCCCTTGTCTCCAACTTTTGTTTCCTGGGGTTGCACTCCCAAAGTAGGGAACAAAGTCTCTACTTAGACTCTGCTTTTTTGAGGAACCCAACTAAGAAACATTATCTTTTTGAATATTTAAATTAATGTAATAAGGTATTTTAATATCCTCATTTTATGGAGGAGGAAACGAAAGCTAGAAAGACTAAACACACTCCTTCAAGCCCAGATCATATTCCCAGATAAGATGACCCAGGACTCATTCCCTGGCAGTTTGAGTCCAGGGCCTGCCTTAACTAGTATTCAATACTGAAAATCCCAAACCTGATTTTGAACCAGAAGATCTCCTTTCTTCTTCCCCAAACCTTTAGGCATAATTATTTACATATATACACTGAGTGCACAAGATGAAGGGGAGCAGATGGAAGGTGGGGGTTGGAATCACACTCTCTGTGATTTTCACATCCTTTTAGGCCCCAGCTCTTAATGTTAGTTAATAGCTCTTAGTTTTGTCAACTTCAATGCCAAGATAAAAATATTTTAGTGAATGAGGAACTCTCTCCACTTATGCATCAGGCTGTCTCTTCAGATAAATGCTCACTCCACCTGCAGTTTTCTGGAGGGGCCTGGGCAGAGTTCCTGACCGTCCCAAGAACTCCTCTGAATAAGGCACAGCTCTGGCCAATGGCTGGGGCTTTGGATGGGCCAATTCAAGCTGTCGCCCATGAAAACTGGGCTTTGTGGCCCCTCCCTGGGTTGATCTGAGAAAAAATTTGTGAATGTTGGTATTTTCAAAGCAATTAATTATTTCGACACACTTTACCTCTCACTAGGCAACTGAAGGAGCTCCTCATGTGGGTACTGTTAATACCACTAATCCATCTGACCTTCCTGCAAGGTAAAAATCTCTTCATTCTTATCCCCATTTGGCAGATTTTAATTAACTTCTCAAGGCCAACCAATTAATCAGTGGAAAGCAGAGATGAAAAGTGGGACACCTGTCTCCCTGTGTGCTCAAAATCACCAGCCACACTCCCATTGTCTTTCCTGCCAAGTCCTGGGTCTGCAGGAAAAAGCCAAAGGCCTTTGCCAGCAGAGAAGAGCAGAGCTCAAAAATCCATCAGCCTAACAGGTAGTCACACTGCACGACCGGTTTCCTTCTGAGACAAAATAAACGATTCCTTGAGCTCAATATCCTGGACTTTTCTTAAGATGAGAATACTTGTGTCAAATTGTCAAAACCCATGTAGGTTTAAAGATTTTCTGTCAAACTGAAAGCCTTTCTGTTTCAGTAAGATAGTGTTGATGTCATCTGTGTGGCCTAAAGTAAACAGACCTACAATATGTTCCCGAAGCCAGATACACAGGGGAAGACAGAGTTCTCAATACAGCTAAGAGGCAAATAAATCAATTCTTAAAAGGCAAGCTAAGCCTGCAAAGCAGGCAGTTACGGGAACTGCGTCCGAGTTGGATTTGAAGTTCTACTGTAGGAGCACCAAATTACAGTTTTCTCTCAAAATAGACAGGAAGTTGAATGGAGCACACAGAGATGTCTGGGTATTTTTGGAGTCTGAGAACATTTAGTACCCACAGTACCGAGTCTTCTATTAAAGCTCCAGCAGGCAGGTACATGGGAGGTGACCTAGAGAAGGCACTTCCAAGCCTCATGGCACAATCATCAAAGGAGACAGAGCATCACTAGGCAGGCAAATCGTTTGGTCTGTTTTGTTTTTGGATGAGAGATTCAGAGTATTTTTTAAATGTTAGTGTGTGGGATTTGATATGGCTCAGTAGTAAACTAATGGGTAAGCAGAGTTTTTTTCTTTTTTTAAACATTTATAAAGTTAATGGCCTTGGGTGCCTCTATTTGAAGGGCTGCTTTTTAATAATCCACAAACCACATATGTGAGCTACCATGTCTGGTCCTCAGCAGAGACACCTACACAGGGGCATGGATGTGCATGTGCACCCCTCCTTAGACACTACCTGTATTACACCAACGTGTTAGCCGTAAGGCTTGGAAACAGGATTTTCTGTGACTTTTTTTTTTACCTTGAGCATTTAATGTATGTGACATTCCAACTCCTAATAAGAGATTCATCCTGTTTATTTTCTCAAATGGATGCTAATAAAATCCATTCACCCTCCCAAATTCCTTCCCGTATCCCTGCAAATTATATTAAAGGTTTATATATGTATGTGACTTATTTCATCAAAATTAATTTCAAATTAGGTATTAAACACCATTCCTTAATGCCTTCCAATGTCACAGAATCAAGATAGGAGTGATCTTTCTAATGGAAAAATAACTGTAAAGGCCTGTAAAATGAAACCATTTTGTAAAATCCTTATCACAGTGCCTGGCATATACTAACTGCTCAATAAATGGTAGCAACTACCATCATCACCTCCAGTCATATCTGTGGATTGATTGTTAGGTTTATTCTGGACTAAGCTCTGCTTGAAAAAGAACTTTGGAACTATCCTTTTTCAGAGATTTACTCCAAAAAGCAATGTCAATGGCCAGAGCGCCATTACTGATTAATGCTGTCTCCCAGGCTTTCAATTAAATTCAAAGCTAACAAATATATTCACACTGCAAGATCCACATAATCATACCTTGCATAATTTCACTTGGAAGGCCGTTTCATTTTAGTTCAACTTTCAAATAATTTTCATATTCAAATCATCATAACTTGAGATTTGGGGTAAATAAAAATAGATTTCACTTAACTGAAACCATGAAGTAAATAAACCAGTCGCCTTAAAGAACTGAAAATTCTATTATTTAAAATTAAGCCTGTAAAAAGCCTTTATAGAAAATAAAAGCCTGGCTGTTCCTGAATCCATTCTGCAACCATTCTTATTCTTCTTTACTTTTTTTTTTCACCATTTTCCCTTTTTTTTTTTTCCATTTTGAGAGAAATTTATGATTCTTTCATTGACATGCATGGGATTTGGTCATCTGAAAAAAAAATTTATTTCAGCTAAAGGTGATGCTTCCTTTCTGGAATTTTTTTTTTTTTTAGTGAGATGAGGACAAAGGAGAGTGTGAAGAGGGGGGATCAGTGAAAGAACGAAAAACAAATGACTTGCCTCTGGACTCCACACGGAGGAGCTGTCAGTGGCATAGGAATCTTCAAACCCCCGGCTATTAAAAGCCGTCTCCATCTCCAAGCTGCCCTCCGTGGATTGGCGCCTGAGGCTTTGGATCACATTGGACTCTGGGTGAGATGTGCCATGGTGCTTGGCATCCCCCCTCTCACAGGGGGGCTGTGAGTGAGCAGGGATGTGGTCATCTTCACCATAGGAGAGATTCTCAGAATAACTCCGTTGGCTGGCTCCATCCAAATCTAAATTTGCAATAAGAAAACTATTTCAAATGCATTATTTTTAACACCTTTTTACCTAGAGAAATTGAGCAATTGCAGTCACAACAATCGAGACTGCAAAACAGGACCCATACCAAAAACACCTGCAGAAACATATCTATACAGCAACATAATATCCATATCGTATATCCATACAGTGAAGAAACTTGATCCATAAAATGAAAAAGAACACTATCTCATTATGCGGGGTATCAGAAGGTTTAATACTTTTTACATGAGTGTAGATAACGTATATTTATGTCAAAAGGGTAAATTAGACACAGCACTTTGCTGGAGCTAACGACCACAAGACTTCTACAATGGATCTAGAAAGCAAAAAGTCATCCAATTTGGAGATTATATGGTCTCCTGACTCTACCATGCTTCCTTTTCTCTTCAATGTCTATTATATCATCCTCTGCTCAAAAAGCTTCAGTGACCCTACCAAGTAAAAGGTTCTCTCCTTGATCCATGGTCTTGGATTGATATGATCCGAGTTTAAATACTGTCTCTGCCTTAAGAACTTGGACAATATTCAAATTCTCTGAATCTTTGCTTCTTTATCTAAAAAATGATAAAAGCCATCAGAGGGTCACTGTGGACACATGAAATAATATTCACCTGGCAGCCAGCAGGCCTTCCATAAATATTAGCCTACTTATCTGCCTGGCCTGAACTGGCCTCATCCAACCCATCCAACCTCATTTTCCACTGCTTCCCAAGTGACCATCGCCTCATTCCTCTGGTCTCACTAGTTTATGAAAATGTTAGCTGTATATTTCTGCTCACAGTGCCCTCCCAGCATCCTTTCCTCCCTGCCCATACAAAGTGCCACCAACTCCTGAGCCTTCCCTGCCTCCTTCAGTCTCCACACTTTTCTGTCTCAGCACCCCTCACCCCCATTCATCCCATTCCACTTCCTACATGTCAAGGTTGTCCTCACATGGTCAGAAAAACCTGGCAGGGTCTTCCTGAGAAATAGCTGCCCCCACTATTTGTCCCCCACACCCATAGAACAGCTGAGGATCTCTTATCTCTTTGGCCTCTTTTCTCCTCCAGCAGCCCCCATCCCAAGATGAAAGGAAATTGCAGATTTAGACAGGACAAGGGAGTTGGATGGCAGAGTCTATGTCATAAAGCTCTTACATGTACACTGTATGGTAGTAACTGTTTTCCCTCATTAGCATTATATATCCACTATTAATAGAATGTAAGCTCCTAGACGGTACTAAGCCACATACATCCACTGCATAGTCTTTATCCGCCAGGGGGTTATCACTAAACCTTCAGAGAACTTTAAAGTCTAGGTAGGTAACAAATATTTACAGCAGCCAGGTATGCAGCAATATGAGTGGCAACAGGGGTTTACCAGAGTACATGACCCATGTATAGTAAGCATTCAAACTTTAAAAATATATTATCAACCAGACCATATAAAAACATTTTCAGGCAGATCCTCAGGGCAGAACTTCAGACTCCTGATTTGGGGTTTTGCAAAGTCACAGCAGACCATTGAGAAAGTCCCCTATCTGCCTTGTTATCCTTAATTATTCAGTTCAGACCCCTTAACACTCTCCTAGGCTATCACAAAATTTTTACATCCAGACTTATGGTTATTTGGGAAACACACTAAAAACGGGCCACACAAAATGACAGAACAAGGAAAAATCCACATGCAAAAACCTACAACACAAAGCAGAATTTTCTTCTAAGTCTCTAATTAGCACACCCACTCCTCACATATACAAAGAGTAAAATGTCCTATTAAACAGTGGGTCATCCACCAACATGTGTAGAGCCCAGCAGGATTTCAGCACAAAATTCTACTTTGCCAAGAAATTACCCCCATAAAATTGTCTCAGGACTTTAACTCCTACGGTGATAATACTAAGATCAGTAATAAGGGAATTTTCAAAAGCTACATTAAGCCTTGAAAAGCTATTCAAAACTGAAAAACATAAGAACGATATTAATGTAACAAACCATTTTCCATGACAGACAAGCAAGGAATGAATTAGAGAAGCAAATCTAGGGTACAAGTCAAGTTGCAAGGAGGAGGAAAGGGAAAGGTGATTCACCTTTCCATAAAGCAGTCTTCCCGTGCCTTTAAATTAAAGAAGATCATGTCATCTTCAATGCACGCACAAAAGTAATTGCCTGTTGTCAGAGAAATGTATCCTGGCTTCTTAGAAATTATAGGCCATAACTATGTCACATCAACCAAATTTATTTTAACAGAGAAATTCCTCCACTTGCTTAGTCCATATCCCACGTTGATGGAATAAAACCCTATTATTCAAATACTTTTTTCATACTCCCAAACCTGTCTCCCCTATCACTACTGAAATACAAAGACTTCTGCTTGCCATCTGTGACGGTAAGTTTTGTGTGTCACTTGGCTAGACTACAGGTGCCAATTAGTCAATCAAACACTAAATCTAGGTACTGCTGTGAAGGTATTTCATAGATGTGATTAACGCCTAAAATCAGTTGACTTTAAGTAAAGGAGATTATCCTACGTAAACAGTGAGTTGAGACACCTTAAGAGAACTAAGTTTCCCCTGGAGAAGAAATTCAACCTAAGAAATACAGCTTCAGTTCATGCCTGAGAGTTTCAGCCTACCTTTCCCAACAATCTGTCCTGCAAATTTGGGGGCTTTGTATTTCTGTTACCTAGCCAGCCACCACCTTCATATAAGCCAATCCTTTGCAATGAATTTCTTAGGGTACACAGCACACACCACACACACACACAAACACACACACACACACACACACACACACACACACACACCTGCATCTGCATGTGCATGTGTTTGTATGCACATGTACATTATGTATATATAAGCATGTAATCCTGCTGGTTCTATTTCTCTGATTGAACCACGACGGATATACCATGTGAAACAAAACTAAGTACATATTCTGGAGATAATTGAGCTGGTTTTGATGATACCAGGGTAGTAATATCTAGCTTGTAAGAAATATCCTCAGAATAACTATTCCATAAGCAAAAATAAGGTTACTGCTAGAAAAAAGAAAAAAAAGCCGCAGTAAACAGACTATTATTCTGCAGCTAGCCTTTCACGCCTAAAGACCTCATAGGCAGGCCTCCAATCCAGACCACTTAGACCAAAAACCCTCTTTAACGTTGTCAGGAATGCAGTGACAATTAGCATGCAATAACACTAAATCAGATACACAGGACAAAAGAGAACCTACATAGAATACGGTTCTAAATAGCCTCACCATGGAATCTAGAATGAGGGATCTCACTTAAGGTGAAATATGAGACAACCTACCAATAGCTCATTCATGCTTCAGATTTTACATAGATCTGGACTTTTAATTTCTGGTCCAACACTTTTGAATGCATTTTTAAAGTGGAAGAACTGTTTCTACAACTAAATTTGATCACACAAAACAAAGTTTACAGTGGAATAAAACAGCTAAATAGAGAATAGGTAAACCAAAAAACTGCCAGTATTCCTCTCCGGGGTATATGCTTAATCTTTTCATTATGTTTTACCACTGAAAAAAAAAATCCACTGATATAAATTAACAGAAAGAAATCAAGCAATAAAAACCTTGTTAACATTTCCATGGCATTTGGTAAACTAAAATTTGGCCTGTGGCTATTTCTATGAAAACCTTGCTGATTTTCTTCAAAATCTACAGGTACTTCATTCAGTGTAGTAGATTTTTTTCCTCTTTAACCTTTTCTATCACCATCTGTCTAAAATTCAGAATTACCAGTTAGGACAAGAGATAATTTGTTGCTCATTCCAGGAAGGATAAGGGTTAGAATGGTTGTCAGAACTCTCAGAACGTCAGCCATTTGTGTAAATCAGGAGCCAGACACTTGGGCTTTTGGGAAATGGGGCCATTAGCTTTAGGATTAAACAAGCTGTTCTCAGGGAATCAACAGCTATTAACTTTCATTAGCTAACATTTGCCCTCTCAATGGAGAGAACGGAATGCTGTGATGCAACATCAGAGAAAAGCCAAGAGAGGGGGTTGGGAAATGACAGTAGAATCAGCGCCCACTGATGCTGTGGTTTGGTTATATAAGCCTTTTATTTATTAATTTACCTTGGGCTAAAAAGAATGGCAATAAAAATCATTATGTTGGCTTATGTCGGTAAGTCAAACTACATGACGAATAGCAAGTTATTCCTGCTGAAAATTAGGGGTCTTTCTGGTAATTCTACCTTTTTAGTCCTTTATTCTGACTCGTAGTCCTGTGCTCATCCTCAAATCAAAATTTCTTCTCTTTTATCTTCTCTCAGTGTGTGCACCCTCCTTTTTCTCTGCCTGGGTTTGAAAACATGGACCATCTATCGCTATGCCCCCATTTGACTGACCTCATTACCAGAACGAAAGAAGGAAAGGTTAGAGAGCTCAGGTAACTGAGACCAGGTCATGAAGGTGGATGGCATAACATTTTCTCTTGCTTTTTTTTTTTTTACCAAATACACTTCACAGACCATTCCCTGTTACAATGGCTATGTCTACTCAGGGCTCTGGGCATAAAAGAGTCAGACAGATACCTTGACCTTTGCTTGGGAAAGCACAAAGAAATAGCATACTGTTCTGTTTGCATCCTCTCTCTAGGTTATTTTGGGTCTATGTTAGAGGGGAAGAAGGACCTGTAACAAGGTCTGCCCACCATCCCGAGCTGGCCACCCTACTTTTGAGTATCCCCTCCCCTTTGTGAAGGGTACACTCAGGATGGTGATACTGGAGAATGACAGAAGACTCTCTGCTTACCCAGTAATTCTCATGAAGGTGGGTGTATCAGAAACTACAAGGACTGAGGGTAAGGATTCAGGGGCATATGGTGTTTGAAAAAGGTTATTTAATATTATTACACTGCATATTTTTTATTTGGCAGATAAAAATACCTATTCCTTTCGTAATACAAACTAATTAGAAGAAAAGCTTCAAAATATCTTCTGGAGTTATATAGATATATGGAAAACTTATTGTATGATTCTAAATGGGATAAATGGCACAGACTCTCAACGTCAGTGGACAGGTATGTGAAAATTTTGTATTTATCAAAAGGAAACAAAATTTGATAAAGCTCAATAAATACCATTCTAAATTAAGGAAGAAGTGGGCAGTAGGGAAGAAAGGGCTCCCACAAACTAGTATCAAGACCCACCCTCTTCTGATCCATTCCCTCTCAACCTCCAGCATGGCAGTGCCCTTGGGAGGTTTAAAGCAGCCCCTTTGCTCCATCCCACTGCATCCTGTCTCATTTTCTTTTCCCCTCTGGAATCTCAGATGCAGAGTGCGGAAGATGACTAACTCAGATGCACTCTTACCATTGGTCATCCCTGGTCCAGATAAAGAAAGGATGTGAGGCAAAGGATACCTTCGCAGGCAGATACTTCTGTGCCATCTTCTTCGTGCGTTGACAGCAAATGGCTGAATTTCGGTTTCTGCTCCAACCCTGTCTGCTTTCCTTTCTCAGATGTCACTGAACGGAAACTCTGGGACCGGGACACGGAAATCTCAAATTGTTTGATCACCTCCTCATCACTGTCGGAAGATGTGGACAGCTCTTCATCATCGCCAAAGCTGCTGACTGGAAGTAACCAAGAGCCATGAGTCTCCTGTGTGGCCTATGTGCTCGAATACAGAGATAGACTCTCCAGGGAAATAGAAGAGAAGAACATGGACAATGAGTTTGAACGAAGGCACGCTCGAACTGGATAGAAAAAAATTTAAAACACTTTGCAACACAAATTTGAGTCCAAAGGAAAGAACGCTCATGAGATAATTAGAAATACAGTATATATATACCTAGAACCCAAGAGAAATCATTGGGACACCCATAATCGTCATAACGAGCCCTCACGTTGAGCCAGGCAGCCCTGCTGATTTGTTATGTTGCTGAAATGTGTTCATAACTGGAAACAGAACATGTATCAGCACATTTGCCTTCTATGCAGTTCTAGTCAATGACCCCGGGACATATGCTCTTCATCTCATCTCATTTGTTAAAACACAGGTAGCCAATCCCCACTTCGGAGAGGAAATATCTATAGCCATGATTTTCCAAAAGCTTTCTAGTTTTGAAAAGAGACTCCACCAGCTGCAGTGGCTCACACCTGTAATCCCAGCACTTTGGGAGGCCGAGGCGTGCGGATCACTTGAGGTCAGAAGTCCCAGACCAGCCTGGACAACATGGAGAAACCCTGGCTCTACAAAATATACAAAAATTAGCCAGGCATAGTGTCAGGTGTCTGTAATCCCAGCTACTAGGAAGGCTGAGGCAGGAGAATCGCTTGAACTCAGGAAGTGGAGGTTACAGTGAGCTGAGTTTGCACCACCGCACTCCAGCCTTGGTGACAGAGTAAGACTCCATCTCAAAAAAAGAAAAAGAAAAGAAACTCAGTGTGTGTGTGTGTGTGTGTGTGTGTGTGTGTGTGTGTGTGTGAACTCATTTAGAAATTTTCTGAATCTTTCTCAGCATCAACAAGCCAAATATCCTTTGAATTACTGGTTTTTAAAAACAAGTTGTATTTTATATATATTTGAGATTTACAACATGATGGGATGGGACACGTACAGATAGTAAAATGGTTCCTATAGTGAAGCAAATTAACATATCTGTCACCTCACATAGTTACTTTTTGGTGAAACAATAGCAGCTGAAATCTACTTATGCGACCAAAGTCCCTAATGAAATAGTTTTATTAACTATAATCAGCATCTTATAGGTTAGATCTGTAGGCTTGTTCATCTTGCAAATCTGCTTTGTAAACTTTGACGTGCATCCCTATTCCTGCCCCCTGCCCCCTGGTAACAGTTTTATTCTGTTTCTGTATATTTGACCTTTTTCTTTTTTTTTTTTTTTAAGATTACACACACAAGTGAAATCATGCAATATGTCTCTTTCTGTGTCTGGCTTATTTTATTTAGCATAATGTCCTCCTGTTCCATCCATGTTAGGGCAAATGGCAGATCTACTTTTGAAATTTTTTTTTCATTGTAAATATAAAAGTCTCTTTCCTTTCTAAGGTATATTTATGCACCACAATTTCTTCATCCATTCGTCCATTGACGGACGCTGAGGTTGTTTTCATATCTTGGCTAATGTGAATAATGCTGCAGTGAATGTGCGAGTGCAGGTATCTTTACGAGGTGGTGATTTCACCTACTTTAGGCATACACCCAGAAGATGGACTTCTGGATCATATGGTAGTATATTGTTCATTTCTTTTCCCTCTTTTCTTTGAGACACAGTCTCACTCTGTCACCCAGGATGGAGTGCAGCGGTGTGATCTCAGCTCACTGCAACCTCTGCCTCCTAGGTTCAAGCAATTCTTGTGCCTCAGCCACCAGAGTAGCTGGGATTATAGGTGTCCACCACCATACCCAGCTTTTTTTTTTCTATTTTAGTAAGACAGAGTTTCACCATGTTGGCCAGGCTGGTCTCAAACTCCTGGCCTCAGGTGATCCACCTGCCTTGGCCTCTCAAAGTGCTGGGATTATGGGCATGAGCCAACATGCCCAGTCTACTGTTAATTTACAATAGACCTCTACAGTGGAACCTCTATAGTGCTTTCCATAACAGCTGCAACAGTGTACGTTCCCATCAACGGTGTGCTAGAGTTCCCTTTTCTCCATACTCTCACCAAGACATGTCATCTTTTGTCTTTTTGCTAATACCCTCCTAATGAAACACCCTTTGAATTATTCACTTTCTCCACACCCTCAATACACCAGCACACTGGCCCTCTTTCAGTTTCTCCAACAGGCCGAGGCTGTTCCTGCTGTCGAGCTCTTTGACTTTGTTGTTCCTTCTGCCTCCCCCAGTGTTTACATGTCTGGCTCCTTCACATTGCAGGTCTCAGCCTGACTGGCACTTCACTGTACAGTCCTCCCTGAACATTCTCCCTTAAGCAGCTGTCTTCATAGCACTTAGCTTCAGTTCTCTGTTCTCCCCTATAACTTCCATGAAAATGAGGATATTACTTATTTTGTTAACTGATGTCTCTTAAGATGTGAAACAATGCCTGTTGCACAGTTAGCAGTTCCTGAACACTTGTTAAATATTGAATGAATTGGTGAATACCCAGTGTTCTAAGCCTGAGTGTGTATGCATGTGTGCGCATGCACACACACACACACACACACACACACACACACACACACACACGCAGTTCCCTGTGCTTGGAATACTCTTCTCCAGCCCCTATATAGACTAGTCAGGAATCTAATTCACCACTGAGGTCTCAGTCTAGACATCGCTTCTTCCAGAAAGTCCTTCCCTGACCTCTTGCATCAGGTTAAGGGCTCCCTGCATGTGCTGTAAAACAATTTTCTGTTCTCCCTTGTCAGTGCTCCCTCCCATGCCTGGCAGCATTACCTATCTAAGTACAAATCACCACACCTAACCTGCACATACCATGCAGGTGAGGAGCACATCAGACTCCCCACCTTTGCATCCAGGCCCTGTCTCCAGGCCAGGCACACAGCAGACTGCTCTGTAAATATTTGCTGAATGTGAATTGCAAACTATAAATAATGGGGAATAATTTTTAATCATTTTATATCCCAAAGTCTCATAGCGATTCCATAAAAGAATGTGATTGTTCATTCACAAATAGGTCCTGAAGATGACTTCTGAATCAGAAGCCAGGAAGGAATAAAAAGCCATATTTCAAGTGAGAGAAAATACTTTTCAACACCAGCCTGGTCAAAACACGTATTCTCTGGCTTGTCTAAGAGCTGACGTTCCTGAGGTTCTTTAAAAGACTAGCAATAATAACACACTTAGAGTGCTCGTTATGTGCCAGGCACTGTCATAAGTGCCTCACGCACAAAACCACTACAATTATTTCACTTTTCCAAGTAAGAAAATTGAGGCAGAGAGAAGTACACAGCTGGCAGAAGATCACACTGCCAATAAAGAGCAGAACCAATATCCAATTCAAAGAAGCCAGTCACTAGCACCCATATTTCTAATCATAGTGCTGGAGAATCAGAGAGAGGTGGTGGAAAGAACTCTCACTCTGTGTACTCAAACTTGGGGAGCGCCTGTGGCCAAGTCTCTTAACGTCTCTTATGCCTTGCTTTTGAATCATATTAAAGGTCTAGAAAGCTCTTTTCTAGCTCTAAAATTCTCCAACTTTAAACTTCCTGCTGGACACGCATCAACATTCAATTTGTTTTTCACTGATCTTCTTTTTTATGGAGCAGCTTCTCCAAGAACGTAAGAGTACATCTTTGTCATCTCACTTAATTCTACTAGCTGCATCTAGCACCACAGGAGGACCTGAAAACCTAAGTGTCAGAAGAAACTAGATTTCCCAGCATTACTCCAATAAACTATTCAAATACCATCCCACCAGAAAACCACCATAATGAGCAATCTCCTCATGCCTCCATGTGCTGGGCATAGCACTCTAGGGCGGGATGGATCACTGCATATAGGAGAGGTCCAGGGACACCAGGAACAAAACGGAACTACTTCCACCTTTAGAGTACAGGACCAGCTAAGCACCTGGGGAGATACATGCACGTGAGGAGTGTTTGGATTAGACATCAATTGGAGCGCTTTCCAACTCTGAGATTCCATTCTAATTTATATTTCTAGGCCAATTTTTAAATTTTAAGTATTCATAAGTCATCCACTTCAAATGAGTTAGCCAATGCACGAATATTTTTCCATCTATAAAATTAATAATTGCAACTAATACACTAATAGACGGTCCTTGATTTTTTTTCCAGTGAGCCACTGATCATCCACAGAGCAAAAATTCTCCTTGCCTGATATAATAATCATACAGTAGTTATAACATTTCCCATATACTAAACATATATGCCAGCTACCTTCTTGGGACTTTGCATCTATCTATTCCATGAAGTAGGAATTATAATCCTGATCATGAAGTAGGAATCATAATTCTGATCATATAAATAGGAAAGAAAGGCAGAGAAAAGTAACTTGTCATAAGGCAACAAATTTCAGAAATTACCAAAGTTGGGACTTGAGCATAGCATCTATGTCCCTAACCACTGTGCATCTCATCAGATTTCATTGCATTAGGAAGCTACAGCCTTATCTAGCTTACTCTTCATAGTAAGGTTTTGCAGGGGGCTCTCCTGCTTCCACCCTGAAACCTGCCAAGAGTCTGGTTTCTTTGTGATGGATAAAGGAAGAGCAGAGCAGTGAGAAGGGCAGTAGTAGTGTGGATGTGAATGCATAAAGGCTTATTGCTCCTTGTGGGGTTATAAATACATCTGCACATGCTATTCCAAGCCTCACTCCCCAAGGACCTCAGGGAATTCTCAGTCTAAAAAAGAAACCTGCGATGTCTTCCAAAGGCCACTGAGCAGCAAGAGAAGTCAAGGGTGGCACTGTTACAAAAATAAAAGCAATCCTTTATGCAGCATTTATCACATGCCAGGCATTGTTCTACTGCCCTGACATGTGTTAACTTATTTACCCCTCACAACAACCCAGGGAAGGAGGTACTATTATTATCCTCAGACTATGAATGAAGAAACTAAGGCACAATGAGGTTAGTAACTTACCATAGTCATAACAGTCTATATGCAGTGGGCCAAGATTCA